GGATGACCAAGACTTTTAAGTCTTCATAAAATGATTAACTCGTTCCAACCAGATTCCCAGGAAGATTAGTATTATGGAACTGGACATAAGTCCTTACAAAGGAACTGGAATACTTATTATCACTAATATATTAATCAGGAAAATCCCATCCATTATTTGGACAAAGGGTTTTGCAGTCCCTCCCTTCGCTGACACAGGGGCAGCGTCTCCACTGGTTTGGTTCAGGGGGCAGGGATACACTTTCCCATGCCAATAAAAGCTTTTACAAGTAAACCCTGTGAGAATGGACAGCATCAAAATTATTTTAACACTGGTATTAAACAGAGTGCTGAATTTTTGCATTTTTTTAAAGGTTGAAGATATCAGTATAAAACGGCTCAGCGTTAAAACCTTCCTGAACCAATGAATATTATCAGCCTCAAACACCACATGTTGATATGACAATCGAGATCTTCCACAGACAGATGAAATGGAATCATAGAATCAGAATGCTTTAGGTTGGAAGGGACTTTAAAGTCCATCTCATTGTACCTTCCACTATCCCAGGTTGCTCCAAGCCCCGTCCAACCTGGCCTTGGACACTCCTAGGGATGGGGCAGCCACAGCTTCTCTGGGCAACCTGTGCCAGGGCCTCCCCACCTTCACAGGGAAGCACTTCTTCCTTCAGGAAGAATAGGCCAGGAGTTTTTAAATAGGTCAGGATCTTTTAAAAGTATTTTTAAGTACAAAAGTTTTTAACACATTCCTAAGGAGAAGCCGAGTAGTCAGTAAAATAACCTAAAAAAAACCCCCAAAGCATCGGGTTTGGGAAGTGAAACCTGAGCTTGATATAGAAATTACTGAGCTAGGGTGCCATGTTAGCTCTGCTGAGAAAGGCTTGACCCACATCTGCTCCAGCACATGCCCTGAACTGTAGGGACCAATACTGCTCTATCATAAAACAAACCTCTAGTCACACTGCTATGTTTAAATTGCATTCTCTGGTATTTGTTGCCTTAGGAATATATTTAATAGCAAATAAAGAGATTGAGGAAGAAAATTAAGTAGATGTTGTTAATATTATTGGAGGTACTTAAATGAATTCTTTCAGATCAGGTTTGCAAAGGAGGTGGATCATCAAGTGTTGACAAAGGAAAAGGATCAGCACAGGGTTCCAGCATCATGTTCAAACACCCTGCAATCCAAAAATCAGGGAAGTCACCAGGCAGCCTGCAACAATCTATTCAGGGTAAAGTAGCTTAATGGTTTTTTTTAAACCCCCTGCATAAAAATCCCATCTCAAAATATGCATGTATATGGAGAATCTTGCATATAGAAGAAAATAGGAGTTGATCTGCAACAATCCAAGAGAAAACATAAAGGAAGAAATCAAGAAATACAGAGGACTTGGAAACTCCAAGTCCACTCTCCATAACACGTATGGGACAAGTAAATACCAAACATACATCCCAGGCATTAATGGTGTAATCCCACCCTAAATTTTATTCCCGTCTCCACATGATTTCCATCAAATAATTACCCAATTTCTCTGTGTTGCAACTGTGTGGAGTTATATGAAATGTTTCTCCACAACCAGCCTCTTTCCAGAGGGAAACACATGACAAAGTGCTATGGGAAATTTCTCATCCTATTTTGGCCCCTGATAGTTTGCACAAAGAAAACCAAAACCCAAACCCTTGAGGTTTCCCTCCCCCCATCTTTCACTTCCCAGCTCAGTTGACACTCAAGAGGTTTCTCTGCCATCCTTTTGACTATCTCTTAGGGATACAAACGTGTCCCAGGTTTCCCATATCTGACTTCATTTAGACTGAATCAGCTCAAAAGAGCAAAGAAAACAACTCTCAAAAGTAATTTCTGAATTGATGTCTGGGTTACATGACCTAAGTGCTATTCCAGAGATTTGTGACCATGAACACACTGTAATTCATTTAACTTGCATTTACTGTTCAGATTTGTTTTATAATGGGAAAGGCCCAATCCATGGAGCAATTTCACCTCTCCCAACACTTTACTGTTCCTATTCCACACTACTAGAGAAACCCTAAACCAAAGTAACAGCTGCCAGTTTGCAAACCAAAAATATAATGAATAAGGTCATGATGCTTCCCTAAATCCTTTTGAACTGTGCAAAGAAACATGGAAAAAGACTTGGAGAGAAAATGGAGAGAAAAAGTGGAATCTGAATGATGATTCAATAACCAGTGCAAGAGATAAATGGGCATGAGGTGTTGAGAAGAGCATTTGCTTTTCCTGAAGCAACTCCTGCTTGAGGCATTTTACACAACCATGTGTGTTTAACTGAAACTTTTAGATTAGTGGTCCAAAAAATACAGAAGTCTGACCTTATCTCTACCTTATAAAAGAGATAATTTCATCTTTGCATATTATAAACACATCATTCCAATTCTCCATTGTAGTGCAAAGAGAGGATTAATAAAAGAGGGATACTGTAATCCTTGACAGTTCCAAATAAATTCAGATCATCCAGTTAGCACCTGTATTCCTTACGGTCTCAATTCCAAGGTGATCCCATGAGGATAACTTCCACAGCTCTAATGCAAAGCTCCTCATGATTATTCCAATAAGAAATTTAACGTGCAGTTAAACCATGCAAGGCCATTTGGTGTAACTTCTCCTCAAGTTGAGAGCAGTGTTCAATGCCATCCATACACACACACACTCTTCAACATCCAATAGAAATATGAGCCAGGTGTTTTTCACCTCCCTCCCTAAAAATGATTTAAGGGCCATCACATACATTGCAAATAAACAAGGTTAACGGCCACCAGTGTTGCATTTCATTTTGAGGTGCCTGTAGAGCACAGGAGAGTTGTGATTATCTTATTAGGAATCTTTTTTTTTTTTTTAAATAAATTCTTGTCCTAAGCCCAGCAGATCTGCAGCAAACACCAAAATCAGCTTCTTTTGCATGCTCACCCAGTATTGTTCCTAACAGTTGAAAGAACAAATGAATCGCTTTTATTGCTAAATTAAGCACCCATATTACAGACTATATGGAATATATAAAGTTGCAAGTGACTCAGTAACTACACTGATGATTTACCCTTCTGCTACAGGCTGCTTTTAAATGGATCACAAGTTTTGCTCAGAGTTACTCTCCAGCTCCAGCTGGGTGGCAGGAAGGGAATTGCTCTGAAGGCAGGATGGCTGGTGAGGGCTGGGGGCATAGCAGATCACAGAGTGAAGAGAGGCCAGGGATAAGAGCTGATGGAGAGCAATGGGAGGCTTCAAATCCTTATTTCAACAAGCTGTTGGATCTCCTACTTACTGCAGTATATATTTTACATGCCTTTATTTGTAAGGCAAAAAACCTGCCACCCTTTGTTATGCCTTGGGCAGAAGTCTACAGCTTTTTTTTCCTTATTTGTAATGCCTACTTTTTCATATCATGCCTACTTTTCATATTATGGGGACATGACAAGAGACACAAGCCCATGATCCTGTCCCCTGGCCCCGTGCTCACCCCGAGGACACAGCAGCAGTGCTGATGCAGTAGCACCAGATCCAATGCCTGGGATACAGCTGTGTCAGCTCTTCTATTGTCAACACTCTTCCTGACCTTCTATCTCTGTTCAAAATACGACTTGGGTCCAAAAACACCTCCCCAAACAACCAGTCTTTCATGCCTCTCAGCAAACAACCTTAATTTATGCATAAACATCTCCATGGAGGTCTTTATGGTACAGCTCCCTCCTTGAATTCTTTTTTGACGCTTTAATTAAATAATACGACAATGAAATGAGCAAATATTGTTTTCTAGCCCTGTTTGCTACTCTGAGTGACTAATTACAGCTTTAAAAACACCTAAGTAAGAGCAAGCAAGGTCTGAATGTCACACTCAGGTACACAGGAATTGGAAGAGCTGAATTCCAGCTCTCCCTGTACTCACCTCCCTGAGCCCCTGGGATATGCTTCAGAGGGAGCCTTAAGTCTCTGCTTTTCAAACCTCTGTCTGGTATCCCACTGTGTGACTAAGTACTTGGCAAGCCAAATCCAAACCCAAGGGCTGCTGCCATTGAAAGCAGCTGTCAAATGGAAATTAAATTGTCCCTTGGGAATTTAATTTAAATCCCCACCACAATTTCAGTTGTCTCATCCAGCAAGACGATATAAGACTTTGCTGACTTGACAAGCCAGCAGCAAACGGGTCAAGCAAGGCTGTTTGGTGGAGTGGCTTTTCAGGAGCTACTGGAAAAGGGTCAGGCATGAAAAGCTGGAGCCTCCTTGCTTTAAGACCAAAAGGTGCATCAAGCAAGGGCAGTGCTGGTGGCTACTGGGCAAAATTACTGCAGAAATTCATCACCTCTCCTTCTTGCCCACTTGATTGGCAGAGCACTGCGTGGATGTCCTCTCGTGTTTTCAGTTCTCTGAGAGCTTTTAATCCTCATCCTGGCATTAAACTGTTTTTACCACCAACCCAGATCACCAGGAGAAAGCAAGATGTGCTTCACCTCCCCACTTCAGCCTTCCCAGCCATTCCGAAGAGCAGCACGCTCACCAGGGGCCAGCTGGGGGACTTGTGATGGCATTGTCACCTGATAAGGGGCATCGCTGCGTAATCGCTTGGAGCTTTCCAAAAACTCCCCCCGACCGCCGCTGGGGTGCTGCCAGCGTGCTCCCTTTGTACGAGCTGGCAGCTCACTAACAGAGCTATCGGCCCCGTTCTGAGCGCAAAATCACCATCAAATGCTCTCACCGAGCACACAGCGCGGGTTTCCTCCTTCCTGCGATACGCAAACATGATACATCTAAAAAGATAAGGATTAAGCACAAATCTCTCAAAGGATTGGGTTTCAAAAAACCCGACAAATGCTAAGGACCATCTGAAGCAGTAATTTGGCTTTCTAACGTGGCAAAGGATGTCTGGGCTCTGCAGGCAGGACAAGAGCATCTCTTCCCGGAGACATCCCCTCCCAACTGGTGCCGCGGCTGGAACAATGCGACGGCCGCAGAGATCCCGGGCAGGAACCGGACCGTACCTTCGTGGGTAGGCTCTGGGTCGGGTGTCAGCGAGATGTCATCCAGCTCCCGCAAGCAGAGCCATTCTCCATCCATCGACACTCGGAATTTGCAAAGATAGATGGTCTCCATGGCAGCCTGAGTGATCTTGTCTGTGGTGGGGGTTGGCATGTCGCTTTGAGGCGTCAGAGCAGACATGATGACTCAGCTGGTACAACAACAACGGGGGAAAAATAAGAACTAAAAATAAAAGCTTTCTGAAGAAGGAAATCAGAAATACCTTGCGATTAAAGGACAGATTGCTCAGGATCACAGAGGCTGCTCTGGCCTTTTCATGGATCAAGCAAGGTAAAAACGCTGCTCCTTCCCGCTCTGCTCTGCCTCCCTCCTTTCCACCGACTGCCGTCTCCAGCTATGCTAGAGGCTATCGATCCTCAGCATCCACAGAAAACCTGGCTCCGGCATCCAAGGCAGGAGGGAAAAACAGGTCCAAAATACGAAAAGAAGGGGGGGAAAGCAGCCGAAGCAAAAAGAATGGGTTCCTCTGGTGATGACCCCAGCAAAAACAAAGGACGAACGGGAGGCAGATCTCCAGGTTTGCCGAAATCCAAGTGCTGGTGCCCGTCTCCCTGCGAAGCCCGGCAGTGCTGCCGGGATTGGCTGTGCGCAGTGAGCAGGGTGGCGACCAAAATGGCTGACTAATGAACTGAGCTGGGAATCCAGGCTCATGTGATCGCCTGCAATTCCCAGGATGCTGCCGAGGCGCCGCGGATGCAGGGACGGCGATGGGGCGCTCATCAGACGGCACCCCCTCTGCGGGCTGTGCTCGTCCAGCCGGCAGCGAGCAGGACGCCCCCGGGACTACAGAGGGGCAGCGCCAGCGGTACTAAGGCACATTTGTATTCCTTACGCATCCCGGGATGCCACTACAGGAATTCAGTCGGCACCTTTGTTTTCACGGAAGGTGTGCGAGTCGCAGTTTGGGCTTTATTCGCTGTGCCACCTGCTCAAAGGGCACCTTGGAGCTCAGATTCCCCACGTGCAAAAAAGTGTTAGGATGCATTTATCATCATCTCGGGGAAACAATGAGGAAAATCATCTGGCTCTAAGCAGTTCAGTGGCTGAGGAGGAAGCTCTTTCAGCAGGGCACATGCATATAGAAGAACAATGAGGGAGAACACCACGAACACAGCTGTGTGACCCAATCTTACGCTTTAAAAACCTCACCTGAGAATTGGTGCTGCTCAGGTGAGGCTGATGAAGCAATATTAGCTCTCAGGAGACAAAGAAACATGCTTTCAACCTCTCAAGAATAATATGACAGCACTGCATTGCCTGGTCCTTTCTCAGTTGTCCGAACCTCCTCTGTATCCACATCCCCCACTGCCCTGATTTCAGAGGACAAGTGCTCCCAGGTCACCAGACAGCCTTCTCATTCCTACACTGAGGTCACTATTGCTTCACTACCCACTTCAACTACCTTATCAGGCCCCAATACATTCCCTTATCTGACTTCGTTCCTTAGTGGCTCCAGTCTATTTGAGGAGAGCAGATGCACAGCATCCACCTGAAATGGATGGGCAGTCAGCCTTGGAGCAGGCTGTCACCAGAACTGTATATTGGTGAGAACACATGACTGATACACAGGATGTGCATCTGTTTCCTAGGGATGTGAAACACCAGAACAGGTCACTGGATGCACAGTTCAGCACAGCAACGTATGCAGCTTTTGGAAAAAGCACCCACTATGTAAAACCCTCATAAGACTGGAAAAAAGGGTGAAGAGCTGCTATTTCTGACAGACAAGAGGAAGCAGTTGCTTTCCGTGAACGCTTCCTGCCTGGTGCAGCACATTTTGACTCAGCATCTCTTTCCCCATTGGGCCAAACCCAAGCAGGCATCACACAGCCTGTTTTTACAGCCATGCCAAGGGGAATTATTTCACCACCGAGTTACTATTGTTCCTTCTCCCCAAGAGAACAGAGTTTACAAACTGTGCTGAACGTCTTAACTCATGTATTTACACACCCTTTCATCAGTGAGAGCCTCATTCACATTGCACCACTCCCAGCTTTAAACCCAGACAAAGTGGCCATGCACCACCAGCTACAGAACAGCTGCTTGCCCTGGGTAACCTTTGGAAAGGGTCCACACAAGCAGCACAGGGGCAAAATAAACCCTTTAGAACTCACAAAGCACAGATGCTATTGCTCAAGCTATTATCCAACAGAGCTCATTATCAGACAGTTTAATTTCTTTGCTTTGAAGGCATTAGAAACACAAACAGCATTGGGTGTAACCCTGCAGCTCCCATCTCACAATCCCGGTCTTCAGCTGAACTCAGCTGGTAAGCCACCCCCACACCAGGATCACAGGGCAGGTCTGCTAAAAAAAAAAAAATCAGTAACTGTTCAACTTTCACTGGTTTGCTTTTAACATGAAGAAATAACGGAAGCCAGTCTGTCCCTTCCAGCTCAGTTCTATTTTCAGGCTCCTTTAGGCAATGATCCTGCTGCAAATACTCCATAGGGGCATTTAAAGTACTTGGAAAATGTTTTTCATCTTTGATTATAAAACAAACACACACAAAAAAAACAAACAAAGAGGAACTGACTTATTGACTTGTGACCTTTTTATCATCACCCACAAGAGAAACCTTTCCCTATCCCCATCCTGCGTCTCAAAGTTATAGACCAACAGAACCTTTAAGAAACAGAATAAAGGTATCAAATATTTGTGTTTTCATAAAGCCTTTCATAAAACTACCGGCAACTCAAGGGTACCTGATAAGGCTCCATAAGGGTTCAAGGATGGCCGATGGACAGAAATAATAGAGGGATAAATGCAGAGGAGAAGTTTTTCAGGATGAATCACTTTCTCCATCTCAAACCAGTCAGACAGCCTTGACTGGTCCTACGACCCCTCCTGTGAGCCACACTTTGGCACAAGCCCTTAGAGGCTTTGGCCAGATTGCAAAACAAGGCAGGTTTTTGCCAAAATGTTTATAAGATTAAGGAATTACCAACTGACTGCCTTGGAATTTTTAAGACTAACCACCTGAAAGCAAAGCACTTGGTCAGCCACCAGTATTTGAGAGCTCAACTGTACTGGCAAGTATTCACAAGTTGAATAAATTAGAATAATCTAAGCAAAGAAACCCAAACTAATTCCCAAACCACCTTTTGGACTCCAGGGAGCATCTCCGAGTGTACTTTTACTACCAGAGCCTGCAAGCAAGCTGAGTTTCCATCATTAGGAGAAAGCTTTGCCTCCCTCAGTGTGTAGAGATCGTAAAGCAGAAAGGACAAAGCCACCTCTGACACAGAATGTCATCTAATAAAATAAAATAAGCAACACAGCATCTACATTGCAAAGCCTGTTTCTGGCTCCTCTGCCACACAGATATGCACATTACCTCAAATACCAGCTCCTTTGAACCCTGCAACCTCAAACAGGAGTGGGGAACACAAAGTTTAACAACCAAAAAAACAGTGACACAATTTCTTAATTACTAAGTGACAAAGTGGGTTCTGTTTACCTACTGTGAAATACAGAGATACTATTAAAGGATTCAAGTAACTCCCATAACTTCCCAAAAATGGGAAGAAAAGGTCTACTTGAAGTATCATGGTATTGTATAGGCTTTCAGTGGGAGAAAGGAATGGTTTTGACTTTGTTTTAGGTCTGGGGTTTTTTTTAGACAGCCTAATCAATTTGCTTTTACTGTATTTAAGAAGTATTTTAAGGTTTTACTGCAGCTCAGCACATTTAAGGAGCAATCTTCTTGCTCCTTCTGTCTGTCTGAAACAAACAAGCAGGTGCTGCTGGCCTGAAAAGCTTTTGCCCTCTCCTTCCCTAAGCAGCTGTGGCCTTCACCTGATGATTGGAATCAGGTGAGAATCAGAGAGAACAGTTTAACGATTGTGTTTTAACAGGAAAAAAAATACTTGAAATAAACCTCCAAAATACTGTGAAACATTGGCTTTTTGGTGTCTTGGCCACTACCTCACTGTAACACATAAGACTTCGCAGCAGAACCCACTGCTCCTGCTGCTCCTCTGTGATGAGCAAATGAAAACTGCTTTAGAGATGGGAGAACTGGGAAAAACCAAAACAAGAAAGAACAAGAGATGATGAAAACAAGATTTAAAGACAGAGTTGGCCCCAGGAGAAACAGAGCTCAACACACCAAATAGATGATGATCCCTGTTCCCTTCAGACACTGCAATCACAGCATCACAACCACAGAGTATTCCCAGTTGGAAAGGACCCACATCAGCCAGTCCCTGAGCAGACCGTGACACAAGACATTGCACAGGCAGCTGTCACCTCCACGGCTCAAAAGAACAAAGGAACTTCAATATGCATTTTATAAAGGTTTTTCACAAAGCCTGCACCAACAGGCACCACAGAGTAAGGCTGACACAGGATAAAGCACTGCTCAACCACTGAGCCTCTCCACTCCTTGTGAGCAAACGCTCAGTGATGCTCTGGTTTCTCCACATCTACACAGCAGCCTTCTTACAACCAAGTTTGACCAGCTCTGAATATTGTTCTTCAAGTCTTCTTTTCCATCAGAAATAGCTCAAGCCCTTGCATGCACATCACACGGTTTACTGGGGATAAAGATCTCCTGATTAGGAAAAAATTACAAGGAAAAAAAGGAGGTTTTGACAGGGAGCTGTCAGTTCCAACAACAATTTACCACAGAGGGACTTCGGACTGTGAACAAAAGTTGGCACTCACAGACAGTCCTTCGTGGAGCTCAGAGCAAAGTCAGGGCATTCCATCTCCTCTTGGCATTATAAGCATGGACTTCTTACCTCAGTGGTTACATTACTCTGCTGAGTAATGCCTTTCAGTACATCAGCTTCCCAAGGAGAAACAAACAAATACCTACTCCAAAAATATCAGCTCCTGTGTGAGTGAACACTTACCTGGGACAGGAGGTGGCAAAGCAAAGGCCAAAAGCTCAGTCACACACACTCTGGCCCCAGCCCAGAGGATGAAGCAGCTGGCTATTTTCAGAAAGGATGAAAAAGGGAAGATGGAAGATCTCTTCTACACGAACTCATGAGTGTAGTTTTTATTTTAATTTTAAAGCACAACCAACTACTTCACAGTACTCCAGCTTACCCAAATACACCACAAGAACATCACAAAGAAATCTTACAAAGCAGAAAACTATTTGCCACCCAACACACCCCACACAGCGAAGCACTTCAGTCTGCTCACGTCTCCAGCGTGCTGTGCCTTTGCCTCGGATTTGTTCTCCCTGCCAGCACCAGGAGGGAGCCCGAGCGGGGGTTCCCCAGCCCCTAACTCCATCCCGAGTCCAGGACAGCCTGTTTGATTTCAGAGGCCGGCACGAATTCTCCCAAAGGGTGCAGGAAGGACTCTCAGGAGGGCTGGTTTTGCTGACCTGCTGGGCCAGCACGGCTCACACACACACACACACAAACCACCTCCTTCCGAGCTCTCACTGTCCCTTCTCCGGCCAGTCCACGCCCGCTGCCCTTCCCTGCCGCCGGGGAGCAGCCAGGCCCCCCCAAACCCTGCGGCTCCCTGCGGGGCAGGGGCACCTTTCGGGCGGACGCCTTCATCGCCGCGGGAGCCGCGCCCTCCGCGCCCGGAGCGCTCCGAGCAGGAGCATCCTCGGAGCGGCGCTCAGGGACCCCGCCGCCGCCCAGCCGGCCCCGCCCCGCGGAGCCCCCGGCGCGGGGAGCCCGCCGTACTCACGGGCTCCGTCCGGCCCCGGGTAGCTCAGCACCAGCACGGGGCAGCCCGCCCCGCGCGGGGCGCCGGGGGTCTCCAGAGCGCGGGCGGCGGCCGCCGGCGCCGCCTCCATGGCCGGGGTACAGCAGGAAGAACGGCGGCGAGGAAGGGCGCGCCTCTCCTCCTCCTCCGCTGCGCCGCCGCCGCCGCGCTCCCCGGGCTCGCGCCGCTCCATGCCGCGGCAGCTCCGCTCACGGCCCCTCCGGCAAACTTTCGGGGCGGCGGCAGCCTGCCCGCTCCGCCTCCGCCATCGCCGCCCGCTCCCCCGCCCCGGGCGGGGGCGCCGCGCCGCCGCCATCCTCCCCCCCGGGCCGGGATGCTCTCCGGGAGCGGCTCTGCCCGGCGCGGGGGGAGCGCGGGGTGACACAGACACCGACAGCGAGATCCCGAGGGGCTCTTACCCGAGAAGCGAAGCCATTGCACCGTGTGCTGCCTCCCCCCGGCACGGACAGCGGCGTTCTCTGATCCTGGGACAAAAGGCGACAATACAAAGTCCAAGTGTATTGCTTAACATTAAAACTGTGAAATACATTGTCTTTCAGAAGACAGGGATAAACACAGGGCACTTAATGTGGAGGGTAGTGTTGTCAGCAGGCAGGCAGCACATAAATCTGCCAGTTTTAAAGAAGACCTTCGGTGCACTCAGGTTAAGCTGAAACACGGGGCTGCTTTCTTTTCCAATCTCACATTAAAACTACAAAAGCAAAGCTGTAAAGGCAACTGATTTCTGGAGGCTGATTTTTCAGCGCTGCCCCAAGTCATGCAACATGCTGCAACTAATTCAACAGATGCTTTAATCCATTTTACCAATCTCACAGCTGAAGGTTTGAATTTCTACTTGCTAATGAGAGTAAAGCCATGTCCATCCAAACTGTGTCTGATGGGGTATTATGGAACACAACTAGGAAAGCATTAACAAAACTTAAGGCAGCAGCAGGTATATTTCCACGTGAGATAGTCAATATATTTTCTTTCTGTGATACAGAAAGCATTGTCCCCCCTCTGCCATTGTGCTCTGTACAAAGACAAAAGAGCAGCTCATACCCTAGAGCTTCCTACGCTCTGCCTATGTCATTTTAAATATGAATCACTTCCATGCAAGTGCAGGCAGGACTGACTATCCCTTGGATCACCCTGCTCCAGATGAGCAGGTGCAGAGGACCTGGGGCAGGTACCTCCGTGGCTGTGGGGGCAATTGAGGTGAGGCAGAGCAGTTACCTGAGGTGAGTCCCAACCAGCATTAGGGGCTGCTGAGGCCAACAGTCCTCTCCAAGCAGCACCCTGGCCAGGACAAGTGCCATCCCACAGCTGAAGCTTGTCCTTGGCAGTGTCAGCACCTTCTCCAGAAACTGTGCTGGAAAAGGAAAAAAGCAGCATTAACTTGGCTCCACTTCTTGCTTCTTTTCCTGATCGTTATCTATGATCCTTCCCTGATTTTACATGTGTGCATTTTCATTGGGATTTTCAAACCTGTTTGCCACCCGGGATTTCCCTTTGGCACAAGTATTTCTTAAAACAGCAGCAGCGTCCCCCCTCCCATGGGGTTAATAATCCTGGCCTTCCCATGATCGCTGATACATAAAACCATCCAGGAACGATATAGATGGCTTTGTCCAATCTCTGAACTAACCAAGCGGACATAATGCCCAGTTAATCTTCATTAAAGTGGGAGCCATGCTGTGCCATCTGCTGGCAGCCAGCACCGGGCAGCTGACACGCCGCATTCCCTCCGGCCTCCAGCCTTAATCCCAGTATTTCTGGGGAGCGTGTCCGTAATGGCACGCTAATTGGTTATTTCCCTCATTTACTGCTCACATGGAAGTTGCCAGAGTTTTGCTTGCCAGCTGCCTGGAGCTTTCCAAGGAAGCAGAGAGCCAGATCCATCAAAGACCCTGAGTGAGCCCTTCATTTTTGTACCAAGTGTGAAACATGCACGAGCAGGTGCTGTAGTAATGAGATCAGGGAGCACCTCTGCTGGATATTTTCCACATCCCATGTGATGCCTGTTACACAACACCATTCCTCGCCCGAAAAAGCACCTAAGCTGCTTTTTTTTTCCAGCACCTTACCTCTTACTGACCTCTTGGCAAAGTGTCCAGAGCCTAGCTCAGTGTTATCAGTGGCAGCCTCCATCATAGTCCCAGTTCCCAGTGGGAAAAGCTCTAGTTCCCTCCTCAGCAGGACTGGGACCCTTCTCCCTGGGAAAGAGCAGCCAACACTGTTTATTGCTGCCAGAATAAGGGCAGATGAGTGAGCACAGGTGAAGGACATTTATCCCCACAGCTCAAAGGTTACACATCTCACCTCTGGCCATCACGGTACAGAGAGCACTGCTCTAACCAGAAGATTTGTTCAGTCCATCTGGACATAGAAGGACTGATCCCATCTGTCTAGCTTAAGCTTACTAACCACCAGCCTTGAAAATTACCAAAATATTCCTGAGACAGCAATGAACAGCATGTTCCTGCCAGGAACAGGCCTGGGCTATAAAGCTTTATATCAGAACCCTACAGAAGCACATTGCACTCACAGAGGATGAGCAGAGCACCTGCATGTTTGAATTACAGCACCTGGCCTGGCACAGGGTCAGGTACACACACTCACATCTTGGCTTCCCCCAAGAACATCATACAGACAGAAAACCCTCCCCATGATATGCACTGACCTTTCTTGGCAATTACTCCCCTTAATTTCATATGGGAAACTAACACCTTTCAGATGGTACTGGCAAGCAAATCAAGGCATGGGCTCCCCAGACCTGTTCCAGACCCAGTACAGGTGTTGCCTGAGACAATTTTTGTTAAACTTAAGAAAAATTAATCACTTTTTCCTCCTTTACAGCCTGGGCTGGAAATGGCCACTCACAGTCAGCTCCTGGCAAGAACTTGACATGGGGTTAATATGCATTTACCCACTAGAAGGCATGGAGTTATTCCAAACATCCTGAAAGTTTACTTGGCAGCTGAAGACATCACATCTTACCCACTTGTCCTGCAGCAATGCTACTTAGTCCTGTAGCAGCAGACAACAGTCAGCATTTATCATAGGTGAACTTAATGTGTTATCACAGACAGATAGGTAGGAGATACAGACAAGTCCTTGCTTGGCTTCTCACTGCACTCAGGAGGGGAAACACTATTGTAGACCACATGGGATTAAGTAATTTAAGACAACCTAAAAGTAGTGCTTGTACATTTAAGAACTAACAAAGGAGTTAATTAAAATAATTAAATACCATAACCACATCTCTCCTTCTGCAGCTCAACACAGGAACAGGATTGACCAGAACACAACAGCAAAAAGGAGAAGAGAGTGAGAGCTGCTGAGCCCCCTTCTCAAGCCACCCTCAGGAGATCCATCCATCCCATCCCATCTCCCCACCAATCTCACATGGCCCATTTCACTCCCTTTGCTTGACACATCGCTTGCAACCTCTCAAGGTTCCCTGTTTATGGAAACAGGACAGCACCACAACAGAGGAAAATACCTTAACACATGGGCAAGTGTGCAAAGTGCCCTGTGGCACTTGGAGATGGCACCTTCTGAAAAAAAAAAAACAAACCAAAAACCAAGTACCACCCCACCCCCAACTTCCTTAAGAATAAAATTCACAACATCCTTTACAAAACTTTTATTGGATTCAGGACTGCTACTGGCAGCTCTTATAGAAAAGTGAGTGTCACTTGAGCTTCCTGCTCTTCTTGACGCCGGCGCGGATGCCGGACAGCTCCCCGGCGTATCTGTGCAGCTCCCTGCGCACCTCCCGCACCTGCCCCTTGCGGCGGATCTTGGCACGACGGAACTTCTCCCGGTGCTTCACCCTGGGGTTGCGATCAATCTTCCTCCTTTTGGGCGTGAGGCCTTTGTTCTTGATCATCTGGTAGGTCACCCCCCTCTTTTTACTGGGATCCTCTGCTTCCGACACCGCTTCTTCTCCAAGCACGTCTTCATCTCCAGGTCTCTTCCTCTTGAGTGCCAGCTTCTCTTCCATCATCTTGTAGTATTTTAGGGCAGCCTCCTCATCCAGCTCCGACTCACTCGACGACTCAGAAGCAGCAGCAGCCTGGCCATTAGCAAGTGCAGAGGCCTGTTTTGATTTGTTTTTCTTGCCATCCATGGTGAGAAACACTGCAAACTTGTTTTCCTTCCGTAACCTCTCTTCCTTCTTGTCATAGTAGCTCCTCAGAAGCACACGGACCTGCGGGGATAACTTCTGGTCTATGACAGCAAGGTCATTGATGATATTTCTGTAAGCCCCCAGCCGTTCGATGATGGGGTGACTATGAACCGGCACCCTCTTGGACTTCAAAACCAGATAGAAGCTGATATTAGCACAGTAGTTCAGGTACAGATGATACTTGGTCTGCAAATAGCGACTGCCCTTCCCTTGGGGGATAGTGCCGTCTTTGACCATCTGCAGCAGTGGGTGCAGCTCATCCTTGATTTCCATAAGCTTCACTTCCAAGTCCTCCATCAGCTGCAGGAGCTCAGGGGACTCCTGCTTCAGCAGCTTCAGCTGCTCCTTCTTGGAAAGGGCCTGCAGATTCTTGTCAATCTTCTGCCCCGTGCTATCGTGGGTTTTGCGCTGCTCAGCCAGGTAGCCCTGAATCATATCCAGCCCGTAGTCATCCTCCCCCAAGTCCTGCACTAACCGCCTCTGGATCACCTGAGCCTCCTGCTCCTCTTCCTCCTCCTCAGCATCGATCTCCTGCTGGCTCCGCTTGCCCTTGGCCTGGGCATCACTCCCGTAGTCCGTGTCATAGTAAAGCTGCTTCCGCTGGCCCCAGGAGAGCTCGTGGGGGAGCTTGGTGTCCGGTCGCTTCTCCTCCAAGTCGCTTTCCATGGACAGGTCCCCATCTTCATCCTCAACCTCATTTTCCTCGTCCTCGCCTTTCCCATCCTCATCTTCCTCCGCGTCTCCATCCTCATCCTCCTCTGCGCTGTGGTCCACGAAGAGATCCAACCCCTGCTTCTCCTCCTCCTCCTCTTCTTCTTCCTCCTCGCTGTCCTCCTCGGGCAGCTGCAGCCCCAGCACCTCCTCCTCCTCCTCCTCCTCGTCGCCGCTGTCCCCGGCCTCCTCGCCGCTGTCCAGGGCTGCCATCACGGCTCGGAACTGCGCCTCGTGGAACTGCTCCACGTCCGTCCGCCACTCCTCGGGGCCGCGCTGCCGCCGGGCAGCCTCGTCCAGCCCAATGGTCGTGCTCCGGGGACTGTGCGCCGGCGGCCGCAGGACGGTGCCGCGCCGCGGTCGCACTGGCTCCCGCGGCTTCCTCCGGCTCCTCCACACCGCCCCTTCCGCTTCCACCGCTCTCCTTCCGCTGCTCCGCCCGGCAGCTCAGCCCGGCCCCTTCCCGTTCCTGGTGCCGAGCGGGATCGGCCCCACGCCCACCAGGAGGTGGTGATAACCCCCGCAGCCCCCGGGGAGGGGGTTCCGGCCGTGGCAGCTCTCCGCAATCGGTGATGCCACGTGGAAAAAGAGGGGGGGAAATAGCCTTTTTTTCCTCCTCGGGGTTTTTTCTTCCCCTAAAAGCACAGCCCCGTACCGTTGCTGTCTGTGTGGTCATCTTGCACGAGGGGGAAAAACACACATGGAAAATACACCTGACACCTGAATCCACCTCTGCACTCCTTAGACCCATCCTTGTATGCAAATAGATCCATGCGTCCCAGTCAAGGAGCAATTCTGCTTTTTCAACACCCGAGGACCCCACATCGGGAGGGTTTTTAAGGCAATCTCTACTTATCCACCTTTGAATTCTCATCCTGTGTTTGTGTGTACCTGTCATCCATCTCAGAGCACCCAGCCTAGCCTCCCAGCTTTCCCAAGGGAAAAATCATGTTATTACTCAGCCACATGGAAACAGTCTACTTTGGAAAAGTACAGGCAGCCCTTCCAGAAGAGCAGCCGGAATCACATTAGTGTATTCCGAGCTCAGAAACCCAGAACCTGATAAATTAAGCACCCCCCACGTCCCAGCAATAGCAGTTCTGTGTTCAGGAAGTGCAGGTGCTTTTTTTCTCACCACAGAACAGGTGCAGTTATATTTATAAATGCTCCTGTCCACCTCTCCATGGAAAAAAAAAATATGTCAAGCAAATGTTCAAATTAACAGAGTGGTGTGCAAAACTTGACTCACTTTTAGGTGATTCATTTGGATTCTGGTCGATCTGATGGCAGACAGGTCTCATTTGTAACTCCTCTCCACACGGTTACCTCTGGGTCAACACTTTCTTGCACAAAGGCAGGTTTTCCCTCAGCTGCCTTTTACAAACCTGTCCCTGCTGGTTTTCAGCCATCACCTCCCTGAATACAGACCTGTAGAAGAAAGAGCAACAAGTATAAGTTGGGTTTGGTATCACTTAATTTGTTAGCCACTCCTCAGGGGAAGTTCTCACTTGATACTGGTTTCCCACGAAATGCAGCTGTCCCTGGTGATCAGGCTTTGTCATCTGGCTGCTCAATCCTGCTGGGTTTTTGTGTGAATCCAACCAGAGACAGCTGCAGCCAATTCCTGCAAGGTTAAAATTCCAGATAACTTTTGCAGGTGTGACTTAGCAAAATCCAGGACTCCCTCATTTCCCTGACCCTGATATTACCATCTAACTGACCTTATTTTGTTTCAAATCTGGCCTTTCAAAATTCAGAGCCTTAACAAAAGACTAACTTGCACTTGGACTCTCATGGATTTTAATGGCATTGACACATTGTCTCTCAACCCAAAGTTTATTTCCAAGAGCAGAAAACAGTGTACAGATATTTGAACTCTGTCCAAGACTTGCTGAAAACACCATCCACTTCTGGAGAAGCTGGATATGTCCTCCAGCATGAGTTAGTTCAGGCAGTTACCAGCAGCTGCTCAAGCCAAAGCAGTCTGCTGTGAACATCAATGGAATCATTGCTATCAACACAATTATCAGGGAATGCTACGGGGTCTGTTTTAATCAACCATTTTCTTGGCATCCCAGTGAGAAAGGAGGAGCAGCAAAGGGAAGCACAGGACAGACTGTTTGTGGATGGCAAGTTATCTGGAGAGACCCCGTGCCCTGGTGTCATCCTTCTCACCCGTCACAGCAAGACAGACAGACAGACAACTATTCTGCCTCACTTCATCCAGGTACCTGCCCAGCTTCTTACCTGGAAAATCCTAGTTCAGCCTGTCAAGACCCAGCTGGAGGCACAGGACAAGTGAAAGGAGACTGAGACTGCAAGGCTGGCTCCCATTTCTTTTCCAGTGCTCAATTATTCCTCCGCTGGCCTCTGCCCCACAGGGAGGTTGGGAGTCCAGCTCCTCACTCAGCCAGAAATGGAGCCTGGACTGATAGACTGCCAGTCCCTTGCCAAAACACCTGCTTGCCCAGATAAATTTTTTGGTAATTCAAAATGTTACCCACTAAAAAGGGGATCGTCCATAGAAGTAACAGTCCATAAAACAGACCTTCCTCTCAAGAGCTTGCAGTCTTGCTAGAAACCCCAGAGACATGCAGGTGGCTGAAGGGGACTAAAAATAGCCCTCATGTCACCATATCCAGACCGAAGGGACTGTACGCACACGTGTAGATTAGCAACCGAAATCCAGATATGCTGAACACCAGCAGCCAGGGAAAAACACTGAAATCAACAGAAACACAGAACATGGTTCTGCTCAGTCTCTGCTTTGGGGTTAGAAAATACTCAGGTGGGGGTTTCCCTTGGATTTTCCCAGTGACATATTTTTATTAGTGTATTTTGGCAAAGCAGACCAGACCCAGCCTCCTTTGCATGTGCTTCATCCTGGTGCCTGCTTTCCCCCCTTCTTGGATAATTCTAAGAAAATGCTTTGTTACAGAAAAGGGTGACTGAAGCAAATAGTGCATTAAACAGACACCACCACCAGCCCAGGTGAGCCAGGTTTATTTACCTTCTGCAAAAGTGGGGCACAGGGAACATCTTGCCACTGCCTCAGAGAGCACTGCACACAACTGTTGGCAATACCTTCTGGGAGGAGGAGAGGAAGCAAACTAGAATCCTGCCCTCCTGTAGATGTATCCATGATGAGAAAACAGGGTTTGTTAAGAGCTATGGCAGAACCCAATGCCCTGCAAGGAGCTGGGCTGTCACCCATCATTGCCCCCCCAGCTCCCACACTCACCTTGCACATGGACACTGCTGATGTAACCTGAAAGCTCATTGCATCAGGCAGCTGCAGGGTGAGATGTTTGTGCTTGGAAAAGCTCAGGGCACAGAATCAGGGGGCTTGGAAGAACCCCAGGGTTGGGGACCCAGCCTCTGAAAAGGGAGGATAGCCTGCAAGGTGACAGGAACTGGGATGCCTGGCAGCATTGCCTAATGACTTCAGCCTCTCAGAGCAGCCTGGCAAGAGCAATCAGGCCCTTGCTAAGACTGGGCTTTCCTTTAAAAGTGGCTTTTTCTGCACTAGACACATGCAAATGCTGCAGGAACAGCTCTCACCATTGCAGGTTACATTGCAACATCTGTGTGTCAGAGTTCCATAAGTGATACTAAATCTGGGACAAAAGAAATCCAGGTCCTCTCCAGTATCTTCAGGAAAAGCCTGCACGCCCAGTACCTCAGGGTTTGGTTGGGACCTGACTCAGGACCTCTCATCACAAATCCCATGGAGTCCCTTTTCCATTGTCAAGGAAATACACTCCTGGATGCAGTGGGCAGTGCTGCTGGAAGAGCTCAGCTTGGCCCCAGAGCTGCTGTTGGCTTTACCTCTCTCACCCCTCCCCTCTCATCTTGCCTGCTTTGACTGCAGGCTCTCTGGGGGCAGCTCAGACCCTTAATACAGGTTAGCACACAGCTGGTCCAAACAGGACTCACTTGGAAGCCTGAAGTGGTTTTTTAGTATGACTTAAGTGATCCTTTAAGTCTGGTTTCTCACAATTAGGAGCCAGAGCTGTGGTCCTTGGACTTTATTACTTTAGACTGGCCCTGATGGCAAGATGTCCCCTAAGGACCAGGGTGGTTTTGCACCTCCTTGCACTCAAGCAGCTTCATTGCCTGTTAGAGATGAACAGGAAAAAATACCTCAATGAAAGCACAACCCCCCGCCCCGTTCCCCTCTGAAAGCCAGAGGTCTTGGTGCACTCACACACCTGGTTTCAGTCCCCAAAGCCACATTTCCCGTGTCAGTGCAGCCAGCCGGGCTGTTTATTTTAGGAAACCCATTTGCACACACCCTTATAGGCAGAGACAGGCTCTGCACCCACATTCTTCAAAAGAAGGGGAGGCAGGATGAAGAACTCTTGGTTGCTGTGCGTGGCCTTGGCCGTCTCCTTGGGGATCATCCTTGTGGCAGGTAGGTGGAAAACTGGGATTAAAATATCAGTGACAGGTTTTCTGTAATCTACAACAGTCAAAGGTCCAAACTCTAAGCCTGCTCAAGCAATCATGGTTCAGTGGTGCTTGGACGCCTCTGTGTGTTTCTGCACCAGAGCTGTGTGGGTTTAGTTGCTGCCTTGAGGACAAAGTGATGTCTAGCTGCAAATTTAAACCTTGGTGATTAGCCATTTCTTATCAGGTTGCTGAAGCAACAAACGGCCAACGTGCTTGCTTGCTCTTCTGCAGTGCTAGAGACCTTGCAAGACTTAGGTGCTAGATTTAAAGACTTCCAAAACCTTCCTGGTAATCCTGTCCTATGGCTGCAGCCAAGTTATTTTTGATTAAACAGTAGTTTGTCACGTAACTCCACTGAATTTCTTGGGAACTCCTGATTTGCACTGAGATCAGAGTGTGCTCCCAGCACACTCCTCAGTGTGGGTCTCAGGTCTCTGTGTGACAGTCTGAAGCCATTGTCATGCACATGGTGCATCTGGTCTGCAGGATTATGTCAGTGCTCAAGGATAACCATCCCAACAGCATGGACAGCTGCATCAGTGCATTTTCTCCAGCTTTTGGGAAAGGGCATCTTATTGCCCACCCAGGCAATTCTCTTGGGCTTCACAGTGTATCACAGGATGATCCAATATTGGAAAATGAGAAATTTTGTCCAAAAAACAGCTACGTAAGTATTGAGGAGGAAGGGAACACCTTAGCACAGGAAATGTAAACTGCAGACACTTAAAACAGCATTAGGTAATTTTGTACTTAAATACCTTCTCCCCAGAGGGACTTCACTGGGTGGCATATGGAGATATTGCTGACAAAATTATATTTTTTGAGCACTGTAATTTTACTTGAAAAATAAATGGAGTTGCAGTAACTTT